AATTCTATAATGAGAGGCCTGCCCTAGGTATATTTTCTCCCCTCTGAATGTAAGGCAGGAAAGTGTCCCCCTTTTAAGACTTGATGCAGCACTGAGTTTGGCTGGGAGCTGCTTCTTCGGGGACAGGCCAGTACTGTCTAAAGCAGTATTCAGTTAGAGGTTTAAATCCATCCTACAGAGACACTAAGGCTTGTCCTTCTTTTCCTTGTGTTTGGGGCTTTATGTGAGCCTCTTGGGGCTTTAAGTCATATTGAGGCTTGGGAGCCAATCATGAGTTCAAGGGCCTTGAATTGTTAGTTTGACAGGAAAGTTTGGATTAAGACTTCAAGAGGCTGCAGCCACCGCATTTAGAGATCAGCTGTGATTTTCTCAGCAATAAAAATGTTCGTGCTACTTTGTAGTTCCCTGGAGAAATTGTAGCTACCCGTGGCTTAGAAAAAAGGTGATTTATTATATTATGACATAGCCTACATAACTGAAATTGCACTATGATTTTATATAAATGTCCTTAAGAAGATTCTTTGGAGTAACTTTGGCCAGAAGCACATTCATGTCTGCTTTCTGTGCCATTTTCTAGATTAGTGCCTTCTGTGTCACTGACTATAGTTACTTGTCTAATGCTGTGTTTTATATTGTGGTTCCATTCATTTGGCTAACAGTCTTTGACTTATTCTAAACTGGTTGTGTTTCAAAATATTTGCCAAAACTTTTGTTTGCTGAAAATTTTTGTCTCCTGCTGAGGCAGAAGGTTTTGGCATGGCAAAGTAGCTGGGCAAGTGACCTGTTCAGAACCTCAGGAGAGCAGCTCCTAAGTGCTGCACCTGGTACCAACTGGAGATTGTTGTCTTCAATTCTTCCAGTACAAGGGTTAGCAGATTTTTGATAGGATGGCCTAGCTCTTATGTCAGAACGTGGGTATAAATGAAGATCACTGCCTGAACTCTTTCATCTCTCTCTTTTCCTTCCTTCCTTCCTTCCTTCCTTCCTTCCTTCCTTCCTTCCTTCCCTCTTTCCTTCTTTCCTCTTAACACCTGGGAGTATAACCTTTATAGTTGACTAGTGTCAAAAGGTTGTGGGGGAAGACCTCCAGAAAATTCAAACAGATTAATTGACCAAGTGATCTACTATGAGGTTTATATTTCTCATCTTGCTATAACCAGGATTTCTGCTATCAATCATGTAGATTTAGGATCAAGTATTGCTTAAAAAGAAGAGTATTGCCTACAGTGTAAGCTTTTCCAAAACTGATAAATGATAAGGTGAAGTCTTTGTTTTATGTGTGTTGACATGCATGTATATATTGTCTATATGTGTGCTTATGCTTCTATATCATTTAGATAGTGCTAGACTAATTTAAAAATAAGAGTACTCAGTAATCCGGAAAGCAGAAATGAAAATGAATTTTAGTCCAAATCAGTGAAACAAATGTTTAAAAGATAAAATAAAGATGTGTTCAGAACTGCTAACATACATTTTGTCCACGCTGGGAAAATCAGAATTATATTTTAGTTTGACTTTCCAAAGAGTATTTTCATTTTCACAAAGGTCACAGGAAAGGAAGGGGATCATGAAGGAAATTTATGAAAACTTTGAGTTTATTATGACCTTAAAGACTTGGCATCGGAGGTGGCAGAACGCCAAAAATAATTAAATAAATGAACACACAAGGATAATGTCAAAATCTTTATGCTTAAAATTTACAACAAAACTTTACAAAGAGTTTTCTTGTGTCAAAATAATTTGTTATGTTTTCTACTGTCTCATATCATTTTTGCATGTTTAAAAAATAAGTATTAGGAAGCTCATGTTAGACACCTGAAGTTTTTTTTTTTTCAATTCTGTTACATAAACTACTATAGGTAATTTGCCTCATTTTTTAAATAATGTAATTGTCCTAGTGTTACCATAGGTCATGGCATTCCTAGTTTCTTATGTGTGATGAAGAAGGAATTAGAAATGGATGTAATGGTAAGGAAAACAGAGTATTGTTTTAATGAGGTGACAGGTTGCTCAGAGTGAGCAGGCTCATGCCAGTGAAAGAAAAATAGCACAAGTGCTGAATGTGTTGTTCAAAAATTTAAAGTGCTGCACTGGGTCTAGGGCGCCTCTCATTGTGTCTTACAGAATGTGATTACAGTGACAGTGACGGGGTGCTGAGTCATGTCAGCTGTGTCTCCTTCGTATGTCCTTCCCCATAATTCACTGTTACAATTGGATGCATGAGATGCAGTTCATATGCATGAACCATTGATGAGATCCAAGTGAAAAAAGCTTATTACAGATCATGCAGGAGGATCTGGTACTCATGAATCCTGGTTTGGAATTTCACAAGTTTCTAGGATGGTCTCATGGGTCTTTGTTTCTCTTATCTCTTCATCAGGGCAGTAGGCTTGAGGACAAAAGTAGGGGCTGTTGGCCCTAGGGAATTGCCCAGGTGCATGTGAGTGGAGAGAAGTGGTCCTGTAGCCCCAATCTATATTAGTAGTATAATGTAATCAGTCATGATTGTTTGCTTAATATACTGTAAAGGTAACTAAGTTGTTTGCTAAATTGCTATTGTACTGCTTATCAACAAACGCCACACTCCTATTGGTTGAGAAGAGACAATCTTTCTTGAAAATGTATGTTAGCTAGTAAAGCAGACATTAATTCTTACACAATGTATTCAAAGTTTTCCCAGTTCTGTATGTGTATGCTTAAGAAATCTTAATGGAGTTGCTAAGCTGTAATTCTTGGTCTTGACATTAGCAACTTATGTGTTTTCTTCTTAATGGTAATTCACACTGGTTTACATGAAAAGGTGGCTTCAAGCATTTGCTTGATATACTTTCTGATAAAACTAACCTTGTCTCATAGAAATACTGCCCTGGTTTTCTTCAACTTGGTCACCACATTTCTTAATTCAAGTCTCCTGTGTAGACTGGATTCTCTTGGCTCTTACTCACTTGTTTTCCATTTGCTTATAAGCTTTGTGACTAGTATTTGTCAAAGTTCTAATGTTTTAGGGTACTGAATACAAAATAAAATTACACTTGACAATGGACTTCAGATAAACTCAGCTTAACAGCCTGTCTTGATATTGCTCAAATTTGGCAAAAGTGTTTAATGACACAGACTGAGGCAAAAAGCCTTTCCAGCAAGTGTAACTGTTAGGTGTCTCCTGACGTTGGCTTTCGTTTTTGTGTTTCACCTCACAATTTTTAGTGATTCCTTTTCAGTCTCAACCATATAACTTCCCTTTGCTTATGTGCCCACTCCCTTAGATGACATCTACATCTCAATCCCACATGAGACAGCCAGCCAGCCAGATGGTGAGTTACCTCAAAGCCCTCAAGAGGGAGGGAGGGAGGGAGGGAGGGCCTAAAGCAACTGGGAGTTTAACTGGCACTTCAAAACAGAACTTGAAAAGTTGGATTTTTTTCCCTTTAGGGACAAGTTGGCTTCTCCCAACTTCCTCAGGCCTAGGCCTTAAACACCCCTCCATCTCCATCTCACACCACAGGAAAGACAGAATATGGAGGTGCTGGCACCAGGAGATCTAGTCCAATTTAATTTCCTTAGGGGAGTGAGTGAGGGGTTTTGGTCCAGGAAGGAATAGAACAAGTCTGGGCATGTGAATTCTCACTGCATTCCTAACCACCACTATTCCTTGCTATAAAAGACCCTACATTTGTCCATGGGGAGGTGGTGACTTGAGGCAAATGGGCCCCTCTATCTTGGAGCCAGTGCTGAATAAATTCTTTGTTTTTTCCCAAAATAAGTGGCCTCCTCTGATATGGTCAGCAGCAAGCAAAGGAACCTGGGTGGCCTGTAACAGTGTCATCTGTGTTCATACCTTTCTGTTCTTTCAGAAGACAAAGTACAGCTCAGAAGTACATGAAGCAAAGCACCATGAGGTGATCTCAGAAAGCAAGTAGAGCAGACAAGTGGAAGGATGTGATTCTGGAGGACAGGGACCTGCATCAGTCATGAAAGGACAGATTCCAGTGGCTTCTTGGGTGCCATTCAGATGATGGATCTGGCAGCATGTCAGTACCACTTCCCATCTGGATTGTCCATTTTTCCTTGAACACAGCATGTACCAAATATCCCATGTTGTCCTACTTTGGTCCATGCTGAAACACTACCATCAGGTTCTAGAAACTTCTTCCATGAAGTGCCATCTGGAACAGTGGTACCTTCACCAAGACCTTTCTGTTCTCCCCAGTCTGACTGAATGCTCCAAATCCCTCATTACTTTTACCTTGCCCTTCTCCCCATGGCCTTTATTTTTGGTACCAGGGATTGAACTCAGGACCTCGGGCTTGCCAGGCAAGCATTTATCCCACTGAGCTAAAGCCCAGCCCAATTTAGGGTTATTATTCAAGGTCAGTAGATGGATTAAATAGGACTTGCCACAGGAAATACCTCTGGGAGGTGACTGGTTTCCACCTCTCTTTCACCCACCTCTTTCTTTCTAGCACAATGGGTGATGTTCTCTATTTTTTCTCAGATGAGGCTATCATTCTTTTTATTTCACAGTGACTTTAGGACTTTATGTTGCCAGTCTCAGCACTACCCATACTTTATAAATTTACTTGGTCCCCACTAGAATAATTAAAAGCACCTCTGAACAGATATGTCTTCTATGAGGTCAGGAATCCTTCTTGGTGCTTCTGAAATGGAAAGTGCATGAGTGATCTTTTGGTCTAACCTAAGTAAATGGATATTGGACATCACTCTTTCAACATATAATTGTTTAATTTTAAAGGAAACATCTAGAATTATCAACCTGGCTGCCTTATGTGGTACCGCTGTTATGCTTTAGGGAAAGGAGAGTGCCAGGAAGCCCTTCATGCAGCAAGACTTTTAAAATGGAGAAAAGCTGATTCAAAGACCTTCTGGCTTTCCTTTAATGTTGTAAACTGAGCTATAATCATAAAGTAGGACACATTTTTCAGGTACCGCACAAACACATGACTCCATCAAAATATATTACTCTGAAATGATAATGCAAACTATAAAAGAAAGTAGTCAGTACGATTTTATTGAGATGTTCTAGTACAGCATCGGAGGATCTTAAAATCCTACATTCTAAACCAGTGCAAGCACTGCAAATGATATATAGTATTGCTGAATCTAGTAGGTATCATATCTAACAAAAGAAAGTTAACATCATATAAACATCTACAGGTTGACTAATAATTTAAGTTGGAGGTTAAGCAACTTTGGTATGTTCATGTTTCTCTGGCTCCCCTTCTTCATTAGATATATCTCAAGTGTACCCCCCACTCAGTGTAGCTAGACTGATATAGCCGGTGGTCTCACTTAAGTTTCCACACCATGAACAGCAAGGAACGAGAAAGATTAAGATTTGCCTGGTAGTCTTCATCATCTTTGTTGAACCTAAAGCATCAAGTAGTGAAAGTCTGCATTTCCACAGTGTAAAACTGAGGACACTAATGAGCTCATAAATGTAGTCAGTCGTACATTTAAATACAAAAGAGGAGCTAAATAATGAGAAAAACCATCAGTTAATTCAGAGAACAGTAAAACAGTGTTTTTTTAAAAAATCAGATTATACTTTAAAATTAGCTCTATAAATTTTAAATATCTTGGAGAAAATGATTAACTTAGAATCAACTGGCTTTAATCATAATGCATCCAGGCGCACACTTGTGTGTTAAATGGCCTACATATGCATTTACAACTCTGTCTTCATTTCACACAAACTTAGAAATTTTGAGAAATAAAATTGTTGCACATTTACCAGAGACAGTGAGGCACTTCACTTAGGACAAAGTTCTAAGGCCTTCTTATGAATACAACCCTAGCTGACCTTCCCCTTCAGGATCACCTTGAGCTATTAATGAAGCAACGTTTGGTTTACTTTTTCACAGCAGTCTTCTACTCACAGTTGCCATGGAAGAGCTTCAGTTAAGATAAACAGTTGCCAGAGACCTACTCCTTTTGATCACAAAAGATAAAAGAACACCAAATGAAAGCTCATGAAATAATGCTTAAAAATGTAGCTGGTCACACTCACAAAAATTGACCTTTTTCTGTCAAAAGCGAGATAATGATTAGTGTAGTACATCTGAATGGATGTAGGGGAATCTGCATTTTACTGGAAGTCCACAATGTGAAGTCATTGGAAACAATGGAAAGTAGAAGCTATAGCTAAAAATAGGATGGAAAGAACAAGATGACACGATATGGGATGGCCAGAAGAGAGCACCAATGTCACAGTGAGTTCAGGGACTACATCTCAAAGTGGTTTCTCAGTCAGAGAATTGCTGAACATAATTTTGAAGTTTCAGAATATAGCATTTCAAGTAAGTGATAGGTCTCCCCCAAAATAAATATGTCAGTGGCCATTTCAAGATAAATAAAATTTGGTTCAGAGGAAGTGCAATAACTATGATAGTTTAACTGAAAACTAGTTATCACTAAGAAAAAGAATAAAAAAGAAAAATTCAAAATTCATCGTATCATGGTTTTTCTAAGTTTTGCTCCAAAATAAAGGCCTATACAGGGTTTTTACCCAAATGTCTATAGGCATTATGGTTATATATTCACACAAAAGGCTTAATCTGAAGTTACCTTTGTAACCTCAAAATATATAAAATATGAAATTCTGCAGTGGGATTTTATATTAGAATGCTGTCACCTCAGAGATGCACTCAAAAAACAAAGGAAAGTTCACCAATCAGAAAGAGTCAAGATGATAAGAACGTTTAAAACTGTTCACTAAAAACCAAAAAACCACCACCATCCCCCAATAAACTAGAAACGGTCTTGAGATTTAGAAGGGGAAAACAATGAATCTCAGAGAGAACAAAGATTTGATGCTTTTGCCAGCCATTATCTTATCATTGCTGTCCTAGCACTAAAAAGCAGAGATAAAAACAAGTGGGAAATCTGAGGAAACCACTTGTCATTTCCCATTCACTTTTACAGTGGAACGTGGCTGAACAGGTATGACACGGATTCCCCATTGTGTGTTCTCCGGATGGCCTCAGCCAGGATCATTGAGATGTCAATCACCTGAATGTCAACGAGAAAGCAGAAAAGGAGGAGTTATTTATATTTCTTTAAAAACCAAAAAAGCGAGAAAGTCTAGAAATGACTTAGCCAGCAGTGCACACTAGGTGTGACTGTTGACTGTTAAACTGCCACACCCTCTTTTGGGAAGATAGATAGTTAGGGGTCTATTTTCAACTTATAATCTGCTGAACCAAACTCATGGAGGCTCCCAGAAAGAAGATTTGCAGTGTAGCTACTCAAATGTTTCCAGGGCTTCTGTTAACTAGAGACATCCTTTTCTTAGGATGTTTGTTACAATTTAAAGCAATTTTATGTGAGGCCAGGGATGTAGCCTAGTGTCTTAAGTGCTTGCCTGGTAAGTGTGAGGTGTGAGTTGGATCTATGGTACCAAAGTTAATTAATTAATTAATTAATCTTAATCATTAGTGAAAGTTCTATCTGTCTGTGTTTCAGAAAAGGTTGTGACTGTGTCATTTCAGAGCATGACTGTGATGGTCTGACTCTGAAGTTTGCAAATCCTTTTTCTGTGAAGCATTAGGACTATTTTTGACTTTGCAGTTGCGAGGATTTCTGTTACCCTCAACTCCACTGCTGTAGCATTGAAAGCTGCTATCAGACAACATACAAATGGCTGGGTGCCAGTAAAACTTTATTTACAAAAACAGATGGTGGGCTGCATTTGGTCTTAGCCGATGTTAATTCCTAAACAACTGCTAATCATGCATGAAGACATAAAACAGCGCCATTTGGGTCATGATAACCATCTTTCTCTCTCTGAAGAATTAGAAACTGAGAAGTGGACCACTGTGACCCACCTTCATGCTCTGCTGGTGGGAGCCAAGGCTTTGAAGGCTGAAATGCCTGCCATGGTTCATTGAAACAGAGGCCAAATGGAGATGCAAACCCTTTTGACTGATTGCAGGCCAGGCAGTGTGAAGTGACTGTCACCAGCTCTGTAGTGGCATGTGGGACCCAGTCAGGAGGGCTATGAAGTAGTGAAACACTGAAGATCTTAACACAGCCCACTGTGCTTTATCATTCCCTCGTTTCTAAAATTGTGTTGAAATTATGTATATATATATATATATATATATATATATATATATACATATATACATATATATGTATACACACACACACACACACACATATATATATATATATATATATATATATATATATTTGCCATTTTAGCTATTTTAAGTATATAATTCACTGGCATTAATTGTTGCATAAACATCACCATTATCTATTTCCAAAACTTTGTCATCACTCCTAATAAAACTGTACCCATTAAATACTAAGTCCCAATTTCTCCTCCTTCAGCTCCTGTTAATCACTGGAGTGTAAAGTTTTTTGAACATGCTTCCAAAGTTTGAGGGTATAACCTAGGGGTGGAATTGCTGGGTTATATGCTAATTTTGTGTTTAATGTGAACACAGCCTGTTTATACCACTGTTCCTTTGCAGTTTTACTCATTTGCTAGTTCTAAATAGTGCACGTGGATCTCTGCTGCCTGGCCCCTCTCAGTGACCTGGTGCCACTGAAATCCTGCTGGGAGGGAAACGGCATTCTCTGTTGTCCATGGAAGGCTGGTTGCTATTTTTAGGGACCCTAAGCAGGTGCCTAGCTGCTTGGCTCCGTCTAAGGTATAGATCGTACCTGAATCTTGGGGCAGTGCTTCATTTTATCCTCCTGAGGAATTGTGTTTGTAACAACAACGGCCTCAAAGGAGGCATTATTTATTCTGGAAATAGCTGGCCCAGAGAAAATCCCGTGGGTAAGGATAGCATAAACTTTGGTGGCTCCAGCTGACAGCAGCCTATAAAGTAGGAGACATAAAATTAAGTGTATGCTAATATTCTTGAAATCATTTCTCTCAATATCAATAATAATAGCAACAGTGATTTTTACGGAGGAAAAGATGAATTTCCCACACATTTATTAGCCAAGACCAAGAATGTTAGTAAAACATAGTATTCCACTAAATCAGGGATTATCAACATTAGCATTTGGGCCTGGAAAATTGTAACAGGGGCTGTCCGGTGCATTATAGGAAAATTTAGCAGCATCTTTGTCCTACACTCACTAGCAACATTCCCCTCACCTTAGATGTGACAACCCAAGATGTCTCTAGACATTGCCAGAAATCACCCAGGAGGCAACACTAACCCAGCTGAGAACCACTGCTTTAAAGTGAACTAGGCAAAATATTGCCATTTTGATGAGTAATCAATATACAAAGTATCGGTGACACTTCAGTACATCTCAAGTTGGACTGGCCACATTCTGAGTGTGCCAAAGCTCTTTCCTTCTGTACACAGTTTCCAGGGAAGCACTCTCTATTTACCTCTTTAAAAGATCCTGAAAGTTCCACATGGAAAATGAAAAGGCTCATGGTTTCATTTCAACCAGGAAAAGAACAATAAAAACAAAGGGTCCTCAACTTTCCTTTGGCTTAATAGCACACTGCCAAATAATCAATAACAATTAGGGAAACTAGGCTCAGCTTTTTAAAAAAACTGATCTTTTTTTTCTTTCTGCCTTCATGCTCTCCTGGGCCATCCCACATACCTATCGGCAGCGAAGCAAATGGTGCCACATGTGTCGGCCATGTCGTCCACGAGAATGGCCACGCGGCCCTTCACGTCGCCCACCAGCACCATCCGGTCCACTTCGTTTGCCTTCTTCCTCTCTTTGTGAATCAAAGCAAACTCCACATTCAGCCTGTCTGCAATGGAGGTGACCCTGCATGAAGTTATGGTGGATGACATGTTAATACAGTCCATACAATTATGAGTCCTAACTGTAATGTTTCCCATTGTCTCCAAAGGATTTTAAGCCTACTTTAGGCTAATTACTATGTTTAATTCATTCTTTTAACAAACACATACACAATATTCAGTCAGGAAAAAGACTCCTCTTTAAAAGATACATTTGGGTCACTTGTAGGAAAACGGAGGTACTTGGAGACCATAGTGTATATGGTATCTCTTATATGAGAAGCCCAAAGCATAAATAACTCATGAACATAAAAACAGATAGATGCTAGGAAACAGGGCAATAGATCTTTTGCAAAGAGGAGGGGCACTGAGAGACGGAGGGAGGCGGGAGGGAAGGGAGGCGGGAGGGAAGGGAGAGGAAAAGGACGAAAAGAAAGTTCGGAGGTCCTATGCACTGTACATGGGCCAACTCCACAGGAGGAATGCCATCATCAAGCACTGCAAAAATGTACTCATAGAACTTTTAAAAAATTGAAACAAAAAGAGAATCTATTTTTAACCTTATTCGAGGAACACAGCCAATGAACACATGACCATTGCTTTTTAAACCAGGCGTGAACTGGAGAATGAGTAAACAAAAGTGCTAGTGACAGACTCCTTTGGTGGCATCTGGTCATGAACACCAGGACACTGGACCACTGAATGAAACTGATGTTCCATTTGGTAGTATTTGCAGGTATATCTTTCAAATGACAGGTACAGCTTTAAAACAAGTGATATAGCAGAAACACCATTTGTTCGGTTTGTGGAGCAAACAGTGGGATCAGAAGTCCTGGGTGGCTCGTCCATGAATGTGCCAGCGTGTGACAACGGATTTTGTTGCACTAGAGGCCGAAGGGGACCGACTCTGTGAGCTGTCAGGTTGGCTCCCCTGTCTATCCAAGGCAAGTGCTTAAAAGCCACTGGCTCAGGGAAAAGAAGAGTTCTGGGGGTTGGAAGAAGCAGATTTAAAGTGATGAAACTTATTTCAAAAACAATGTCAAAGACATAATGTGACATTAAAATTTTGCTATCCTGGTTTTCAAAATAATAGTCATTTTGCAAGTCAGGTGAAAAATGTTCTCAGGCTCAGTATGCACATATCCCAGTTTAGGAGACAGTGCACAGAGGATATGAGCTCCAGACATGGTTTTCTCTTTTTTAATTTGGTACCGGGGATTGAACTCATGACCTTGCACTTGCCAGGAAGATGTTTATACCACTGAGCTAAATCCCCAGTCCTAGACATGGTTTTCAAAGCAATGGTCCTCTTCCTTAGAGGGCAACCAGGAAAAGAGTGCCCTGTGGGCTTGGATTCAGGACAAAGCAGGCAATTCTCTCTTTTTTCTTTGCTCGCTTTCTTTTCTACTTATGTATTTATCTATTTTGTGCGTGTGGCGGGGGGGGCACTGGGGATCGAACACAGGGCCTTTGCACTGAGCTATATGTCCAGTTCTTTATTAAATTCTCTATCTGGAGATAGAATTTCACTGAGTTGCTAAGTTGTTCATGCTCAGGGTTGAACTTGCAGTCCTCCTACCTCGGCCTCCCAGAGTGCTGGAATTACAGGTGTGAGCCACCATACCCAACCAAGGGTGTTTGATTCTGAGAGGACCCAATTTCTGGGGCTGAGAGGAAAGCACAAAGGGACTAAATACTCTAGGCTGCTCACCCTTGTTTCTGAGAACTTTCAACATCACCAGTAGCAAAATTTTATAATTGTGGGAAAATGGAGACATAATACATATTCCTGAGAAGTTATGCTATGACAACATATCAACAGATCACACTGAAATCCCAGGCAGAAATATTTAAAAAATAACACCTCTCTCTCTGATTTTGATTTTTTTCTGGACATATATTTCACATATATACATTCTTTTATTTGTGTGTGTGTGTACCTGTAGAAAGACTCCCTGGAGAAATAGCTATGTTGGTAGAGATACAAAGCAGATACAATTTTCTCCTAGGTTTTCAAATTTTTGTAGAGCATGTCCTAAGATTATATGACCAGAAAAGAAAGTTAAATCAGAATTATTTACTTTTTCCCACTTCCTAGACCACTTTTATGTAGATACTATCTCAACGGTGGAGGGTATTTCTTAAGTTTTACTTTTTCTTGGCTGGCAACCCAATCAAGCTTCAAAGATTACCCAAGAGTGACCTCCTGTGGCAATCTTAAATTTTACTTGCAGTGACTCAAGCAAGCCTCAAAGGTCTTTAAACATGTAAATGGGTGCAATCATTATGGAGGTCCATATGGAGGTTTCTCAAAAAATCTAAAAGTAAAAATTCCATTTGACTCAGTTATTCCTCTTCTAGGTATCTTCCCCAAAGAGCTAAAGACATCCTATTGCAGTGACACCTGCATACTCATGTTTACAGCAGCGTAATTCACAATTAGCTAAATCTTGGAAGTGGCCTATATGTCCATCAACAGACGAATGGATAAAGAAAATGTGGTATCTATACATACTGAAGCTATAAAGGAGAGCTATAAAAGACTCAGCTATAAAGGACAAATCTGAGACATTTGTAAGAAAATGGATACACTTTGAAAAGCATAATGTTAAGTAAGATAAATCAGACACAAACTTAAATGCAGTATGGTTATTTTCATTCCAGTAATCCAGAGTACAAATAAAGAGCAAAATAAAAGATTGATAAAAGGAGCTAGAAAGATCTTCTGCAAATAGGAAGGGGCTAAGAGGCCGAGGGAGGGAAAAGGGCTATAAAATGATTTAAGAAGTGTCATGTACATACACTAAGTACCTACAATCAGTGCAATCATTGTATGTCACAAACAGGAACTAAAAACGCTAACAACAGTAACATAGAAAATGGGGGAGGAGGACCTAGACATTGAGAAAGGGAGGTGAAAGTGGAGGGGAAGAGGATGAAAAGAATCAAGATACACTAAATACTATACCTACTCAGTACGGTGAATAAACATGGTGTATTGCAAACACGTATATGAACAAAATAACTGAAAATATAGAAAACAAGCTCTAATTTGTCAGATAGCTGGCAAAATAGGACATTTTGCATTAAGAAGCCACAGATCAAATGCATGGGTCTCACATTACTTTCAAGGCTGTTGGAAGGAGACAGTCATTTGGAGAAGTGTCCACTCCAGAATATAAGGTTGCCAGTGCTATGTGGCAACCACTTTGGGGCAAAAAGGAAAGGAAGTGGCAAAGACTCTGAAACGTGTGCCTCCAATGTGGGCTTTCTTGGTAGAGGGAGCAAGGGTGGCTAAGGGGGGCTGCTTTCAAGGGTTCTCAATCAAACAGCACCTCAAATCTGGCCACTTAACCTGGCCAGGGTGCTCTGCATATTTTAAAAGTGGGAGTTAGAATATAATAAGACTTTGTTTCAAAATGATAAGAAAAAGGTGGATAAATTTAATAGTTTTGGAACAAGCAGATAACAAGTAGAGGTTGGGGAAGGAAGAGTCAAATTCTAATTTCACTCTTCATGCAAAAAGAAATTGCAGATGGAAAGAAATTGGAGCAATATGGGAAAAAAAGGAAACTTAAGTCCACACAAAATCCCTGAAGAAAAATTTTAAGGATGAGTGCTTCCTAAGCTCAGAACTCATATGTGAAGGGAAAAGAAATAGGACTAGGTAAAAAGGTTTGAGAAGTTCTGTGGAGAACAAAAATATAAAAAGGCGGAAGAAATGAGGGAACTGTTGTGGGAAATATTGCAATACACACAAGAAACAAAGCTGTGATCGCCTGTTAATGCAGAATTCTTGACAATCTTAGGAAAGGCCCCAGCTAATAAAATAGTAGGCAAAAAGTGGGAAAAGGCCACTCGTGGAAAGTCACAATACCAGAAGGGGTGTTTGATCTTCCTTGCAGCAACCTAAGTTTACAGGAATAGGCACTAGATCACAAAATTGTGTGATAATCCACAGTGTGAGCATGTGTGTGAGAATCAGTGGCAGCAATATTGGATGGACTGCCACCTCTATTCTTTTTGATGGTCTAGCTTTGGGCACTGTGCATCAAAACTAAAATGGCTTGTGTCCTGGACTTGGCAATTCCACTTCTAGAAATGCATCCCACTTGTACATGTGTGCAAACATGGCACCTCCAGTATATTGTCACTGCATGGTATGAACTGTAGTCCCTACAAGTGTGCAGCAGTCGGCTGATCATAGGAATTACAGTCTCTGCATATGTGGGAGTGTTACTCAGTGTAAAAGGCATTCAGGCACACCTGCTGCATGTCCAGAGAATTATGCTAAAATTTAGCAACCAGGTTTTTAAAAAGTGCAAGAAAGAAAGTACATAGCATATTACTATTTTCATGTAAGACCTAAGGGGGTACGTGCTTGACTAACGTCATTCTGACACTGGAAAGAACAGTGGTGCTTAAAGAAGCAATGAGGGGAGTGCTTTTTGGTACTGTTTCAATTTTTGCTGAGAACAAGCAAGATATTTGCAATAGGTATTAAAACAGAACTGGGACAGGAAAGGAAAAGGCCATAGGTGTCTGCACGACCTATTTGGGCTTATTAGCTACCAAAGTTATATCTGCTGGTTAAAAAAAAAATAATAGGCCAGACACAAAAGCCACTTATTGTATGATCAATTAATGTGCAAAGTTCCAAAAGCACAGTTCTGTAGCAACAGAAGGTAGGTGAGCAGTAACCAGGGATTGGGGTCAGGGCACACGGGCAGCAACTGCTAACGGGGCCAGGGGCTTCCCTTGCTGCAGTGACCATGTTCGGGATTAGTGGCACTGGCTGCTCAAGTTCGTGAATATATTGCAACCAGTGAACTGTACACTTTAAAGTGGGTGAGGTGGAGGCATTTGAATTGCAACTCAGTGAGGTTGGCATTACAAACCAGGCACATCATATGCTCCTCGACCCCCTAGCCTACCTCTTCATCTCAAGCCAGGAGATTTGTTCTGTTTGAATGCAGACTGCACCACATGACTGAAGTAAGTTTCCATGTCAACCGCAAGCATTTCCAGTAGAAACGAGTCTGCGAAGTTGCCCACATTCTTAAGCCGCCCGACAACACGGCATTAATTAACCTTGATGTGGTAGCCAAGGGCATTTCTGTGCCCATCCTACACCATAAAGGGTCCTATCACACGGTGCTGTTTTCCAGCCCACTGCTGCTCGAATGGGGCTCTTTGCAAGCTAACTGCTGCTGTTTCTTATATACTGGTGTCTCCTTCCTGTCCACGGCCACTTCCTGCAGCTGGCGGAGGCCTGTCACCAGCTGTATGGCCCACTTCTTCCTCCTCTTCTGTGCTGGGAAACCTATGCAGCCGTTGGAGGGCAGCTGAGGCAGAAAAAATGGGGCCTTTCTGAGAATCAGGGCCTACTGTGCACTGAGGGCGTTAGGACTGCCCACTTTCTGGGCCCCTCCTAAGCTCTTCAGTGTGACTGCACGCCCCCAACATGGCTGCAGGTGGATGAGGGTTCCCAAGCAGGGACAGCCTTATTTACAACGCCGGCGATGGAACTCAGGGCTCCCTACATGCTAGGTGAGTGTGCGCTCTTCCACCAAGCTGCACTCCCAGGCCCTACATTGAACAATCCCCCCAAAGATTCAGGGTCCCTGTGACTCTTTATACATTATTCACGCACACCAAGCAGCCTCTTTTTCACCCTGGGCTGGTGGGCAGGTGTCTCTCCTACTACCCCCTTCCTTGTTGTGGCCCCCAGCTGGACAACGCTACTCCAAGCCACATTTTTCTTTGCAGATTTCATATTTTTTTTTCTTCCCAGACTGCAGCTGCCAAGGTTCCTGAGTCAGCAGCAGCCTGAGCTTGCAGTGAACACTATGTATCAGATCAGCTTTCATTCTTCTCAGCCTTGATTCTGAACACCCTGTGCCCAAATGGCTCACTAACTCCTTGAGTCCTCTGCAAAGCCGATTACACTTGCTACTCAGGACCACTTTCTCATGCCATTCTGTGCACATCACTGCAGGCATTTGAGCAGCAGATGGTCTCTCTCTCTCCTTCTCCCTCTCCCTCTCTCTCAAACTTGCAATCTTCCTGCCTCAGTCTCCCAGAGCGCTGGGATTATAGGCTTGCACCACCATGCCCAGCTGCCTTCTATTTCTTTTTTTTACTTAGTCTTCTTTGAAACTTGCTCTTTTGACAGTCTGGTGATTGTTCTAGCACCCTAAGATGTCCTCTTGAATTGCAGACTTGGGATCAGTCACCAGGTCACATAAGCAGGGAGAGCTTACTGAGCAACTGGTAGTGGAAGTCTCTCTGGAAGAGGCTCTGTGACTGAAGGGGTCACCAATTCTCACAAGAGGAATTCCTACTCTCACCCCTGTACATACTGCACTGTACATCTGTCGATGGTCCAGGCTCGGGAGCTGATTTTTCATAGGTCACTACTTTTTCCCCTGTTCAAAGGCCTGGCCTGCTACCTAGAGGCCTGTCTTTTGGCTCTCTTCTTCATGGAGGCTCTTATGTATGTGTTAAATGCTACTGGTCTCTTCTTAGATCCAATACCCATGTCCCAGGCCACCGGAGCATAGCTTTCAGTCCTTTATTTCTTGGCTTCGATATTTCTGTTTCTCAGAGTCCTACATGCAGAAATTTTTTAAAAAAAGATTTCATTCTTTTTGGTGATCATTTGCAAGTGTTTGGAATAGGAAGAACTAGCTCAACTGTGTTGTTAGTTAAAAGCCTTATTTTCCAATTAAACTTATTACTTTTAGCCTGGTGTGGAAGCATATGTCTGGGAATCTCAGCACTCAGGAAGCTGAGGCAGGAAGATCTCTGTGAGTTTGAGGATAGTCTGGGCCACATATAAGTTCAAGGCAAGTCTAAATTACATTGAAAAATCCTGTCTCAAAACAAAACAAAACAGAAAAACCCAAGCAAACTTTGTTTGTTGAAACAAAGTTCTACAACACTGAAAATGTTTATTAGTTTTATAATCAGAAAATAACTTTAGAAATATTTTTTGCTGAAAACAAACGTATAGAGATTGTGTTATGTGTTTACTCTTGTGAATGATGAAATGCTGACAGAGATGATGGGTTTCTGCTCTGGCAGTTAAGACTTTGGTCTACTTACTTGCTCATCTTCAGAATAAAATGTTAAGTAATTTGAAACAGGCTCCTCAGGCCTGGGGGGGGGGCGGTTGGCTTGTGGAACAGCACTTGCAGAACCTGGGTGAAGCCCTGTGTTCCATCCGTAGCACTGCTAATAATAATACTCCTAATGCCGTAATACATGGAGAAGTGCAGACAGGAAAAAGCAACTGATGCAGACAAATTCCCACGAGCAACCTGCATGGTACCTTTTGGCTCCTCCTGCGTCGGGGGAAACAATGATGCAGTTCCTCCACTCGCTGATGTTCTCGCGAATCCACTGCAGGACTGCGGGCTCCGCATACAAGTTATCCACTGGAATATCAAAGAATCCCTACGCAACAGGTGAGTGTCACACTGTAGAGTTTGTTTCTTTGAAGCGATAACTGCTTTCATTAAACAACATTTTAATTTTGTATTCAAAAGAAATCTTCCAACCCACTCTCCTTTTTTAATTTAACAAAATCACAAGGTAGATGCTTCAGGCCAGCCATCTTCAAAATGTATTCAATTGCTTGGGATGGCCTTTTGCAAAAAAGGCAAAAGAGCCAGGCTTTAATTAATTAATTAATTAATTTTTAGGTTTTTTTTTTTTTTCTTGAGACAACGTCACCCTACATAGTCCAGGCTGGCCTTGAACTCACTATGTATTCCAGGCTGGCTTCAAACTTACAGAGATTCTCCTGCCTCAGCTTCCCTAAGCTAGTATTACAGGCCTGCACCACTACACCTGGCAGGGCTACTGTTTTTTAGCTCCCAAACCAAACACTTTACATTCACTATACATCATAAAACAGGTACTGTATAATATGGCCTGATTTAGAAGTGAAGGAACTAAGCTATGAAGAGGTTAACAAATGTACATTACAACTCCACCATTCCAAAGGTTTTCCAGGAGTTGGGATGGAATTACACCATGCATACTTCCATGAAGTCATTTTCACTGCTCCAAAAACAATGACAAAGACAGGATATACCGACACTGAGTTATTTTAAAGAAACTCCAAGACAGGAGCCATATACAGACTCAAACTTAAGGAATGCTACCACCTTCGGAAATGATTTCTAGCAGTGCCTCTGTTCAAGAATGTATCTGTTTGTGAACAATTCAGTTTGCAAACAAAAGGGTTATGCACAATTTTGCTTCTGTTTTCAAACTCTGCATCAGGTGACAAATACAGCCACAGCCATCTTCCCTGATGAACACGACCGCAGCCTTCTTCCCCAGAATCATGGAATGAATTCACTTCATGAACAAAGGCACCACTTTTATTTAACAGAGTTAGGACCTAACCACTGGCAGAAGGAAAATCCTGTACCTGGATTTGAGAGGCATGCAGGTCCATGGTGATGATGTGATCGGCCCCGGCCACCGAGAGCATGTTGGCCACAAGTTTTGCAGAAATTGGAGCACGACTCTGAAAAAAAAAGAGAGGTGGATTTGACAGCAGGAAAAGATAGATGGCATCAGATTCCTCCTCATAAGCAACAGGTGAGAAAGCTAAGTCACACATGGTGTCATCAAAGGGTAATAAGGAAAATAACACACATCGTGACAACAAATGATATATTTATTCCACTTTGTTCACCAACTACTGTTTCCATATACTACTGTGAAGCAATGTGCTCAACACTGGGTATAGAGAACAAATGTCAAAGAGGCATACATTTAAACATAGAGGCTGCTGCACATGGAACGTCACAATTTGCATAAATCAGGCTGGAATAAATGCAGATAGGTAAAATAAAAGGTATAAGAAAGAGAGATAATAGCAGGAAGGAAGGACACAGAGTTTAAACGGGATAGTTGTCAGAGACCCTATTGAGATCAATTTCAAGATATGGCAGCAAAGACCAGAGAAAAGCATTTTAGAGGGAAAGCAGTATGGGGGACATGGCCAAAGCCAGGAGATGCTTGTGCAGCCAGCGATGGCAGGAAGTTCTGCTGTCAGAGATGCTTTTCTGCACGTAGGGCTGGATGCTGTCCTCGTTGCAAATTAAACAAAAACCAGGTGGAAGACTGAATATTTCATGGTGATGGATAATTGAATATTTAGAGAAAGAGATGCACTGTCATTTACTGATGTTTGTTTTAATGTTCCTTAACTTCTTTAAAGCTTTAGTTCCCACATTAGAAAATTGTTGACAAAATTTTACATCAAAAAAGCCACAAGATTATATTGATATTATCAGACTACAGAGAGGATCTAGGTGGAATTCAGCAACTGTCTATGAAAAATATTTCTACACACCAGTACTCCAAAAGAAAACATAAGCTTGAAGAAAGATGGCATTCACTATAATGACAAAGAAATGATCCCATTAAACACATACACATTCACACACACGGTGTATCACAAACAGTAAATTCATGTAACTACATGCATAGCAAAGAATTATATCAAAATGTTATCAAAATTATATCAAAATAGATTGTTTTCAATTTCTCTAACACATTGTGTTTCTTAGAAAATATTTTATAATAAAATACAGATAAAGAGAGAGAAAAAGAATGAGAGAAATATCTCAAAATTTTAAGAGTAAATGCTTCTAGAAAATGAATAATAGGGTCATGCTCTTTCTTATTTTTATCTTTTTTTAAAAAAAACTTTTCAATCTTCTTTATCAAGTATATATCTTAACTCATGTTTTCACTTCTTAATTCCCCCATACTGTGTATTCTAGTTGCCTTTGGAATAAATCTGATTTTCCCAGCTTCCAAACTAAAGCCCTCTGGCTAATGTGGCTGTATAGTCTACTGAGAACTGTCCCTGTCCCATGTCTTTGCTACTGGGCAGCTCTCTGCAGTGGGAACTGGCTTTACCTGCCCTCCTGCAGAGAGCCCAGTAGCCTTACCTGTATACCCACATGCCTCCTGGTCCCCATCCTACCCATCTCTGCTGGCCAATGCATTTAATCCTCCAGGTCTGGCTCCAATCTCCCAACTGTAAGGCACTCTAAGGACTCCAGACATAATCTCTCCCTTCTAAAGTGACATAGCATCCTTAAGCATTTGCCCCCTACTCTTTGGGTCCTCTTTGTGACACCAGTTGAAGACAGAAACATCATCACTCACAAGGGCAAACAGCTGGTTTTAGCCATCTCATCCCTTACCGAACATAGCTCATACCCTGCACATGATAGCTTTCCAATAAATATTTCATAGCAGAAGCTCTATAATATCAAATTTCCAAGGCTTAGTCATTAGCCTCATTGATAGCATTTTTTCGTCTAAGAAATTTCCAGGACAATAGAAAGAACCAGCTGGTCACTGTGACTTCTTTGTAATAAAATTCGATTGGCAATGCTAAGTTCCTGCTCTTCCTAGAATTTTGTAAATGGTCATTAGGTCTGAATGTGTCTTCTCCACAATTCAGGAGATGGCGGTATGATTGCATTAAGAAGTGCCGTCTTGTAGAGGTGACTGGGACGGCAGGGCTCTTCCCTGTTAAGGGAAGGGAGGCCTTGGTGAAAGAGGCTGTGGACTCCATTCTGTATGCTTGCCCTTCTCCCATGGACAGACACAAGATTCCGCCCTACATACCACATACCGCTGCCTTGTCCTCAGACCTCCAGATTCCAGAACTGTGAGAAAAAATTGTATTCTTCACAAATTACCCAGACTCACATATTCTGTAATAGCAGCACAGTGCAGATACCAGAAAAAAAGACCACCTTCTATCCACAGTGGCGTCCAGCATTTTTTACTTCTGGGATCCAAACCACAGAGGTAATTGCTGAATTCACACATTTGATTTCCTTCTTCAGACTTTGTTTGCAAACTTGGTTTTGGTACTAAGTTTCAGAGTTTGGCTTAATACCCAATTGAATCCTACAGGAACAGTGACTTACAAGTCAATTTATATGACAGCCTAGGCAGGAGAAAAATTAGTACAGCGTTTAAACACACGTAGACTTCTCCAGTGAGAAATACATGAAGGTCGCAGTTTTGCAAGTCAGCCCAATAAAGACAATGACTCTCTCATGGTAATCTAGATCATATTCAATGTATCAAGCACCTCCCTGCCACAAAAGTAACTTTGATAAGCTTTTGCAAAACTGTAAGATTTGCAGAGGTTCATATCTGCTACCAAGTAAAAGAAAACAATATTTTATCATTTAAATGAGAACAGGACCTTTAAAATGATTTTGGAAGACAGAAAACAAACAGAAACACCAAGCACAAAATCCTTCACCCCCTCCCACCTCCAGAAGTAATTATTCCCTGCGTTTCCCACAACCTGCTGTTTTTACCAGGCAGGGAACCAGCAATTATTGTCTACTATGGCAAGAGCCAGCAAACTACAGCCCATATCCAAAACTGCCTTCAGCCTGTTTTTGTCCAACCTGAGATTCTTACATTTATAAGCACCTCAAAAGCAATGAAAAGAAGAATAGTGTTTTGAGGCAGTGGAGGATTATATAAAACTCCCATTTCTGGATGGACGAATAAAGTTTTATTGGTTCACAGTTACACCCGTTTGTTACAGTACTGGCCATGGCTATTTTCACATTCAAGTGGCAGAAGTTGGGCTATTGTAACAGATCCAGTGATCCTCAATTTTGGACCTGGCTTTTTTCAGAAAAAGTTGGACAACTGTGGATTATAGGCTAGGTATTAGTGGCTATAAATAGTGGCTCATGCTGTCCTTAATTTGTAGATGAGGAAACTGAATTTGCAGAGTTTCAGTAACTCTTTTATAAAGGGGAACCTGAGTAAATATAGTGTTGAAATTCAAACTTGAGCCCATTTCATTCCAATGTGAGCACTCCCAAGCTCAAACCACTTTCTATCATGTCTTCTACAATTAAGATGGTCTCGTCATCACTTTTCCATGTCACTAGAAAATTGTGAAGATATGTGATCATGCATGAAACCATTCTTTCACTATGAGAACCTATTTCTGGGTCCTTGTGCATATAAACCAAACCTAAAATGAAATTGTACAAATGTACCAGGTTTGCCTAAAAGAACAGCAAGGGATGGGGTTAAAAAGCAAACAGGCTTTAAAGAGGACTAAAGCTCTAAATTTTCCTGAGTTTCTTTGCAGGTACTTCTTTTTTTTTTCCTTTGTAGGTTCTTCTGAATAGAGTAATTACATAGAATTTCAATGTGTCATGAGATGTCATAGGCAGGACAGACTCAAGGAATGGAAAAAGGACAATAGAAAGCCTGGGAGGTATGCCCAGAGTTCCTTCTGTGGCCAGCACAACTACAGCCCACGGCTTTTGGTGACACTCAAATGCCGTATCGCCTTTGCCTGCCCACAGGAAGTGAAAAGGAGGAAGTAAGCTCTCTGTCTCAGATCTTGTCTGGTCTCCTCATGGTTTGCTCACATTGGCGCATGGTGGCACTTGTTTAAGAAGTAAAACGTGCCAGCAGGCTCGAGTGATTTTTCTCCCTTTTCTTTTTGGTTTTTTGAAATAGGGTCTCACTATGTAGCCCAAACTGGCCTTGAACTCACTGTGTAGCTCGGGCTGGCCTCCAACTCACAGTGATCCTTTTACCTCAGCCTCCGAGTGCTGGAACTGCAGTCATGTACCTGATGCCAGGAAAGGCAGTTTCTCTCAAGCGCTTCCTGAATTCCTGTTGCAATCCCATGGGCAATTTTCTAGGTGTACCTGAACTACTCAAACCAGCAGAGAAATAGAAAAATTGTCGGAAACTAAAAAGAACACAAAAATGTACATCAGATAATGGATAACTGAGAATGACTGCTCCTTTCAACAAAGTTGAAGAAAGAATAACGGTCTCCTTACTCTAATATAAGTCACACTGACTACACAGACATCCCAGAGTAACGGTACGGGGACAATACACAGGCTATTGTAACACACTCAATGATCCCCAGTGTCACACACAGCTCTTCACAAAGAGAGTTGGCTAACTGTATCCCAGCCACCTCCAAGGTTGTCTGGAGCTGTATATCTACACAGTGAAGGCTGTCCACCAGACTAGCTGGGGACAGTCTGCATGGCCACTTTTTCCTGGCACAGTTACTTAGTAATAGAGCCCACTTTTGATCTCTACAGTATCGTGGCTAGGATGATAAACAATATGACAGTAATATTATCTCAAAGTTTGAACTGCCCCTCAAATATATATTTTTCAGTATCAGGGATCTAACCTAGGGTCTTCACACTTAGCTGTATCTCCAGCCCTTTTATTTTTTTGAGATAGGGTCTCACTAAGTTGCTAAATTATCAAGGCTTGGCTTGAACTTTAAAGCCTCCTACCACAGCCTCCCAGTTTTAAGCTACTCAGTCTGTCGTCATTTGTCACAGGAGGGCTATGAAACAAATCCACTGTACTATGAGTCCTTTCTTTCTGTGTCCTTGTCCCTCACCAATAAGCCATAGGGGTTCCTAAGTGCTACACATACTGCTTCTCAACTCTTTGCCCACCCTTGTCTCTGTGTTGAGGACGAACAAAGACTATTTTTCTTGTTTTTGACACAGGGTCTGGCCTTGAACGTCCAGGACTCCTTCACCTCAAACCTTCTGAGTGCTGGGATTACAGAAGTGTGCCACCATGCCTGGCTGAGGATGAAAAAAGTCTTATCTTTTCCATTTAGTTAAGAAGTTCAGAGAAGTCACAGAATGTGTGTTCAAAATGGCCCAAAACGTAAAACAAACCTAAATGTGTAAGAATAGGAAAACTAGAGAACAGCTTGTCCGACAATGCAGTTCTACAAAACAGTTGAACCCATCAAGGTTTTCAGAAGTCGATAGGACTCCTCTTGTTAGAACAGTGGTTTGGGGGCAGTGCTAGTGCTGGCAATCAGGGACAGTGGCCAGGGACCATCAGAGTTCCTGAAATGTAGGAGGCAGGGGGCAGACTGTGCTAGTTTCCCCATTACAAAGACTTTATTGTGAATAAAAATAAGAAACAAAATTTGAAAGCACAACCTTGGAAAAAGAGGTCAGTGCGAGTCATATATGTGCCAACAAAAAATGCAAACACCTCAATATCTGCATCCGCTATTTGTATCAAAGGAACTGGGGGTTAGAAATCACTCAGCAGTGGGACCGGTGCCTGACAGAGGAATGATTTACCAGAGAAGATACAATGTATTCAATAGCTCAGGGCCGAATACAAAGTGCAAAACCTACTGGAAATTAACTCGATAAGGAATAATCACAGTGTGGGAATTTACTAAGCTTCTTGCCACATGGAGGAGACATCGGTGGAAAATGAGCTCCTTTATGACCGGACAAGATGAAGTTGCTAAGCAATCCTGTGGAAAGATCCAGATGGGAGGAAGTGCTAAGGCAGATGACACAGATGGGACACAATTTAAACCCTGGCATTTAGCAGCTAAAAGAAATGCAGGAAACTCTAGAATTTAGTTCAAAAATACAAGAAGCTATATAAATAACAAGTAAGGGGACATGGTTTCATAGCAACATTTATGACTGAAAGTTTGGGCTGCCCACAAACTCAAATTTAACACACACACACACACACACACACACACACACACACACACACCAAGGTCCATGTGCTGGAAGCTTTATTCCAGTGTGGGGACACTGAGGTGATGAAAACTGTAGAATTGAGCCTACTTGAAGACAGGGAGGGTCATGTGGCACCACTCTCAGAACAGCCAGAGGCAGGTCTCGGAATAATAGCTCGGTCCCTGCAAGAAGGGGCTGTTATGCAAAGAATACACCTGGCCTGTTGCACTCTTGTGTTCCTTCCCCACACACATGTCCCTTCTTTATGTGGCTAGTTCCCTTTCTCCTTCTCCACCTCAAAGTTGTGACACAGCTTGAGAGAACACGTGCCAGGATGCCAGTGCTATGCTGTTTGGATCCTGCAGCCACCAGCATACTAAGTGACATAAACCTCTTTATTTTAGAAGTTACCCAGCCTCAGGGATTTTGTAACAACACAAAACTGACTACAAAACCAATCCACACTCTAATGCATGATTTGGCCTACTGTGACTCCCTGGTCAAACCCAGCCAGCCACTTGTTGAGATAATAATAGTGGTTCTTAACTTGTTTAAATGATTAAAAAATTAAAAGAATAATAACTTATGACACGTGGAAATACTAAATTCATGTGGTAGTGTCCATAAATAAAATTCTATGGAAACACAGCCATAGCCATTCATATATGTACTGTCTATTACTACTTTTGAGGTACAAAGTTGAGAACTTACAACAGAGATCATATGTTTTCATTTTTAGAAAACATAAGCTGAGCCTTCTAGTCTAATCAGTTCAAGGTAACAGTACTCCAATACCACATGGTCTTTTGGAGAGCAAATCTTTAGTGGGAAATTAACTGGATAGCCATATCAACACAGAGACTGGAAGCCACATCTGAAGAGGTTGAGATTAAAATTCAGGGAGACTTTGGTATATAAACTCAAATCTGTATTTTTTTCAGAAATTTGTTTTATTTTAGAAATGAAACTATGGGCTCACCATGAGCACTGTAGTGGGTCAAATGGTCACCCCCAAACTCACGCCCACCCACAGCTCCCAACATGGCCTCATTTTGGAAATTGAGTCTTTGCAGATATAACCAAAGTAAAGATCAAGACGATACCATTTGAAACCAGGAGCTCTGGTGCACACCTGCAAACTCAGCATTCAGGAAGCTGAAGAAGGAAGACTACTGTGAGTGAGAGGCTTATGTATAAGGGGTTTAAGACCAGCCGGGGCTATCCTGTGAGATTTTGTCTCAAAAAAACCAAAATATAAAAGATTAGGGTAAAACTGAAATACAGCCAACAGTATCATTGTAAGAGACAGAAAATGGCACACAATGACATAGGGAGAGGCCATTTGGAGACAGACACAGAGATTGGAATGAGGCTGCCACAAACCATGAGCCCAAGGAACCACCAGCAACAAGAGTTGTGGGAACATCTGTCCCTGTAGCTTCCAGATGGTTTACCCCTGCCCACACCTGTATTTCAGACTTCTAGCCTTTGGACCTGTGTGAGATTAAATTCCTGCTCTTTTAAGCTCCCCTATTTAAGCAAATTTCTTTTGTCTTTTTTCCTTTTTATCGGTACTGGGGATCGAACTCACGACTGCCTGCTTTATAAGGCAGGCGCTTATGCCACTGAACTAAATCCCCAGCCCCCGCAAATTTCTTTTGCCAGCCCAAGAAAACTAATGAAATTTGTTTCCAAAGTCTCTTCAAACTTCTACTTCTCTGATGTACCTTTGAGATTAGGAACAATTATATTTTCTTCAACCTGTACAGACTTACAGAGCCTTCTATAATGCTAATGTTGCTAAAAGAATAATTTAACGACATTAAACCTGTTCCTGAAAGGCTGAAAATAGACAATAGCATTTTTTATTTAACTTTTAACTTGGGAGAAATGTAGATTCACGAGCCTCTGGAACAATGCAGTTCGTAACAGCTGAAGTAACAATGTCACATAGCGTCATGGAAATATGCAAAATTATAGTGCTTTCACAATCAGGACCCTGACATTGCCACAATGAGTGAACTGAGTAAGGTGCTCCACAGTTTGACTGTGTACTCACAGAGGGGTGAGTGTGTACTTAGTTCCATCCACCGCTATACACACAAGTCCAACATGATAAAGTCAATAATGGTAATTTTTAAACCTGCAAAATACGCTTAATTGTTTTGGGATCTATAATCATTAACGCAGTAGGCCCAAAGATAAATCTGACAATGTCAGAGTGAGGACCATGCTCGTGACAGCCTTCAAAGAGAAAGCCAACAATTGCCAGATGTTCTACTGGTAGAGGTATACGGAGAAATGATGGTGACTCAGAGCAGGACACACCTGCCTCTCTCCTACCTTGTCCTTTTTATCTTGGCGGGCATATGGGAAGCACGGGATCACTGCAGTCACCCTGGAGGATGAGGCGATCTTGCATGCATTGATCATGATGAGCAGTTCCATCAGGTTGTCATTGATCTCTCCACAGCCACTCTGGATGATATAGACATCTTCCCCTCTAACACTTTCACCAATCTCCACACTGCGAAAAGAAAAATGCCACCAATGGACATGAAAGTGTGTCTGCATGTTGGAGAGGTCTCCACGACCACCGCCAGGTTCGATGATTCACCAGGCCAAATCTCAAGACTCAGCATAATGCTGCACTTTACATTTGACTAAGGTTTATTACAGGGAAGGGGCAGAGGGAAATTCAGCAGAGAAAAGCAGTGCATAAAGTGAAGTTGGGGGAAACCAGGTGTGAGATTCAGAAGTTGAGCTTAGTGCCTCCAGTAGCAAGCTGATAAGACTTGCAAAATGTTGCTACCAGGGAAACTGCTTAGAGAATCAAGGCCCAGGGTTGGTACTAGGTCCATTACCTAGACACCTAGTATGTGCCAAAAGACCAGGCATGCTGGCCTTCACAAAAGCCACGTTGTTCCCTAGTGGTTAACAGTTTAAGCACCATGAAACATTGTTATCAAGGGATGGTGGGAATCTTCCAAAAGTTAAGTTTCCAGACCCTAGCCAAAGGCCAACTTGGCAAACAAGCTCTTCTGAGTTTCAGGACTGCTGTGTTCACTCTTTCCTGCAAAATACTTCATTTTAGTGCTTTATTATTTATATTAAATCTTTATGTGAATGCTGCTTTAAAAATTCAAATCATTCTATGAGGCTTATAACAGATAATCAACTGCAACCCTCTATATGGTTTTCAGATATTTACCTTCAAGTTTCTAGCTAATATGTGTCTTCCTATGTCTTTGGATTTTTTTATCAGAGGATCCTGGTTTGACTTCTCACTGTGGAAGAAGGGAATTTGATTCTATTTCCCCTCTGTGCCATCACACAGGTGCATTATTTCCATCTTGCCATCATCCTAACACTGATCAATAATCAAACTGAAAATTGTCTATGTTCTCTCTCTCTCTCTCTCTCTCTCTCTCTCTCTCTCTCTCTCTCTCTCCCCCAATATCTCAAAAGCTGTAACCCTTGAGAGTTTCCCTTCCATCAGCAAAGGAAAGTTATAGTTCATCAATAAAATCTATGATTAACGGAATACATTTTAAAGTGTTATACTGTTTATGTGACATTTTTAAAGATGTAATTGAGAAAGTTCTTAAATGTTATGCTCCAATTCCATCTTTCTGTGACTTCTAATTGTACAATCTTATACAGTATGGTAACTTTTAGGAACACATACATCACATTATAGCAGAACTAGCTGTAACAGGGAAACAAAAGAGGTTAGAAAAAGAGGTGCAATGACTGAAACAGGGACAGGGAGATGCTTAGTTGCTAGCTTGGTAGCTGGAGCAGGAGCCAAGGGCTGAGGAATGTAGGTTGCCTCTAAAAGTTGGAAAGTCAAGGGGATAGACTCTCACCCAGAACCTCCAAGGGGAATGCAGCCCTCCTGACCCAGAAGAGACCTCTAACTTACACAGTTGTAAGCTACAGGAATAAGAGATTGCAAGTGGCCAGCACTGTCTGAAATATTTATGATCTGGCCTTTTATGGAAAGTTTCCCAACTCTAAGTCTTATGATTGTTTATCCCACAAGATCTGGTTCTGTATTTCCTCACCTTAAGAACCACAGTGTTTATATGATTAACAGCCCGTGGAAGGACAGAGGACCCTGTGGAAACACCTGTTCCAAAGACAGTCATGCGTTTGTTCATAAAGATGACCCACCTAGTTTGCAGTCCAGAGCTTTAACAGATTGTGGACAGAAGGCAGCATCCATTTGCTGTTCAGCCAGGTGATCTGTTTTGTTTGTGTCTAGATGTCCCACCAACACCTCATACGGTCAAAGGTGGGGCTTTTTCAGAGGTGGCTGGATCTACAATATGTGAGGCTGGGACTGATTCACAGTGTAATGCTAGGCTCAAGGGCACTAGGATTAAGGGCATGAGTGCTACCTGCCCTAAACATTCTGACAAAGATACAAGGAATAGAAAGAGCTGTGGTCATTCCTTGTTGCTTTGTTACATTCTGTCCACCATAAACTGGTTGTCTTCTATGATGTCACCCTGCCTTGGACCAAGTGGATTATGAACTCCAACATCTACAAACTGTGACTAAATAAACTTTTTTTCCCTTAATATTGAGTGTTGGACATTTTGCCTCAGAAATGAGAAGATTAACCAAGACAGGACCTTTTTGAACTCCCAAATGCATGCAACCAACTCAACAATGAATTGGCGTGGTAATTAAAAGATGGCCACAGAGACTTTAACACTTCTTCCATCAAGAATGGCGGTCTCTGTTGTCTGTCCTCAAATCAGGGAGAGCTCTGTGCTTAACCAACAGCATGTGACAGTGCTGGTAATATGCCAACTTCCAAGTCCAGGCCTTCATAGACTCACAGGTGCCCCTACCTGCCTTTTAAAACACTCCCTCTTGGAAGGCAGTTTCCATGCCAGAAGGGAGTCCAAGCAGCCCCGTGATGAGATCTGCAGCAAGAGGAATTCAGGTTTCCACCTAAGCTATTAGGCAAAAACTAGTGCCCACCTACCAGTCATGCAAAAGAGCCATCTTCAAAATGGATCCTCCATCCTCAGTAGCCACCCCAGCAGCCACATATGACACAAGCCTTCCTTGCTGAGTCTGCCCAAACTGCAGAGGTTCGAGCCAACTAAACTAGTATTGCTTTAAGCTGGTAAATTCCGGGGTGACTTCATACATGGCAGTAGGTCACTAGAACCTTGCGTCTCAAGGCACAGGTAAGGATACTGCCAGCTGGTGCACTGATCAGGGTACAAGGTTACAAAATGGACCTCTAGACACAGCTATGAATGTGCCCTAGGAAGTCATCCAGTATTTCCTTGAAGCTGCAGCAGACTTCTTCCTGCACATCTGGAGTGATTTAGAGATGAGAAGGTAAAAATTAGGAGGCTCTATGTCTGATTAAATAGTATTCATGCACATAATGGGAGTATTGATGACCAGAAGCAAACCAAATTCCTGGTCCTAGCTTAGTGAGGGATTTAAGAAGGGGCGATTTACACAAACTGAGTCAATTTCCCCTTCATTTTGACCCTTCTATTTCCCATCCCTAGGACCATGGGCTAAAACCCAGATTACTAACATAGTACCTGGTACAGAGGGGACCTGGTAAGTCAACCTCTGCAACTGTGTAGTTCACAGGAGAAAATCAGCACATTAACCTTTTATAGTCTGCCTGTTACCGCATAAAATGTATTAACTCTCAGACCTAATGCTTTTGGAGACCTTGTGATTTCTATTATCAAGTGGTAGACATAAGTTACTGAAAACCAAATAAAAACGAATTGCTTTCTATTTAAACATCTAAACAATCATAGGCAATCTGAGTCCATCCAGTATTTTGTGCAGAAATTCAAAACCAACTTAGCAATTAGGTGATCCAGACTAACCCTGTCTTTAAGAGAGGATTGTGTCACACTGAGATGTCATGAAAAGGCAAAACTTGTTTCCAAAATTTACTTATGCAGAAATTTCTCCTTTACTTTTGTGGCAACACTTTCAGTGCAAAAACCACTCAAACGGAATTGGCAAAGTACTGCAATCCTCAAACCTAGCTCTGACCTTTTCCAAAGCCCTTGGCTATCCCGCTGGACTGTGCACTAAATTCTGCAAACTGAAATTATGCAGTCGAGTGCTCCAGGCAATAATACCACCTGCTGCTCACTCGCAACTTTTCCTCACTTAAGAGTCGCTGTGCAACTGGAAGAAGTCACAGGAACGGAATCAATTTTCCCTAAAAGCTGACTGCCTGAGAAAAAGCATCTTTGCTATCAGCATTAATATAACCCTCCACTAAGCAAGTTCTGCTTCACCCAAAGTCGTTAAGATTTCTTCCTATGTTTTCCTGTAAAAATATTAATTTTAGATTTAACATTTCCATCTCCGATCCACGTCATTTTTTTTAACAGTGGAAAGTATGGACAGAGGACCCCCCCCGCGCCCCCCCCCTCTGCATATGGCAGTTCGACTGATCAGCATCATTTATTAAACATGTTGGTTGGACTGGAATTTTGCTAATAATAGAAAAGTTATTTGTTACTGTGTACAATTGACTGCACTAGACATCTGAGGGCAACGAGAGAAAATAGATGAACTTGAAATTAGCTAAGGAGCTCTGAAAACTCAAGCCCAGGGAGATAGGACCCCTCTACTCCATGCTTTTGATAAGGTCCACCTCCGGACTGCACTGAGCATAAGTGATCACTTCTTGTGAACCCAGAAATGAGCGGAATTCACATCAAACTAGGGCCCTGCTGCTGCACACAGCAGAGCACCGGAACCACAAAGAAGTTGAAAGTCCATCAGCTCAGCCCAGAGGCAGCAAATTAGAGGCAGCCCAAGAGAGCCCAGCACGTGCACCCTGGAGTTCCCACGCTCTTTCAACCTGCAGCACAACCTCGCCCATTGGATAACGCGCTGCTGAGCACCTGACCTGATCCCTGGCCTCCCGCTGGATTAGAACCTCCCGGGTCAGGCCCCGGAAAAGCTGTACTTGAAAGGTGCCCAGGTAAAACTAGTGCGCAGCCAGGGTACCGGACATGTGAGGAACCTCTGGAGCCCCTCACAGAGCTAGGGTTCGCCCTTGCAGGGACACGGAAACGGAACCCTGCTAAGTCCCTCCACAGCGCGTGGCACGGATGCGTTCCCGTCGGCCGTGTACACCCAATCTCCCACGGACTGTGACCGCCCCGATGTCGCCTTTCCAGACCGGAGTTTACAGGCCGGGAGCCGCGACAAGGTGCCCGCGAGCCTTGGGGACGACGGGTCGGGGCGGTCCCTGGGAGGAGAAACTCAGGGCGCGAACGGGGCAACCCGGGCTGCTGGCGGGTGCTCCTCCTCAACTTCTCCCCAGGCGCAGCCGCTGTGGCTCCGTGGCCGCGTTGCCACTGTCCCGCCCCGGAAGGGAGATCGCGGCTCCCGCGGAGGTAGCCAGGGCACGCGTCGGTTCGTAACTCGGCCCCGCAGCCGCGCGCCCAGCGTCCGCCCCGGCGCGGCCCCCACCTGGTCTCCTGGTTACTAAACTTCTTGGTGACCACCTTGCCCAGCTCCAGGCCCAGGCGGTCGGCGACGCGCTGGGACAGGTCCTGGTGTGAGCTGCCGCTGAAGAGCACGATGTTGGGCATGGTGGCTCGGGTTTTGAGCGGTACGCTGCGAAGGCGACAACAACAGCGACAACGACAGCGACGCAGACGGCTACTGCTGCAGGAGCGGGAAAGCGCGGTGGCGAGACCCAGGGGAGGGACCGGGCGAAGAGGGAGGAGCTAGGGGCGGAGCCAGCGAGAGTGAGAAAGGAGGGGCGGAGTGGAGGCGAATCTGGAGCTTGCCGGGAAGCTGGCTTCCCGCACCACCGGGTTTGCAGGTTGGGAAGATCCAGGGGGTCCTTCCCCTGTTGGAGGCCTCGGAATCCCACACTTGACATGTCCCATGTGCCTTGAGGGGGAAGACCAGGGAACCAGATAATTGGAGCACAGAGAAGGACCAAGGGGGTGGATGCCTTAGCGATCCTCCAGTGTGGAATGCCCCAAAGCCAGTGTAAAGGACTTGTTTTCAACTGTAGCGGGATCTGCAAACTGTGGCCCATAGACCAGATCCAAAGAGAGTAGCCTGAGTTTGTAGGACAGAGCTCTACATGTTTGCACTTTATGAGATGGTGCCACAAACCACCTGGGAATCCCACTTAAGAGAAATGGTCCCCTATCCCACACCCGGCTATTGCTCTTCTCTCATTAGTAGCTATGTATTATTAAAACATACATATTATTATAGTTTGGATGTTGTCAATAAAAACTGAAAAGAATTTTTCTTGTTATATAGCTATATTGTATCTTCCCTTTTGCCTCTTGGTTGGCAAAGCCTAAAATATTTACCTTCAGTTTTGAATAGTCAAATGTACTGAGCCTTGAATTACAGACTTGCAGCATGCCTGTGGGAAAGCCAGCAGTGGCTGCCATCTGAGTCCTGAACACAGAGTGAGTAGGGTTGATCCTGCGACAACCCCCCCCCCCGCAGATTCCTCCACTGTAGGTAGATGTGGTGGACCTAAGGCCAGCTTCATGATCTTTTCCCTCCTATTCTCGAGAGCTGGATCTGAGGATCACAGACCAACCCAGTTAGACCACCAACCTCAGTGCCTCCATGTCCCTGGGGTCTGTGCCTGTCTCTCCTCCCTGCTGGCAGAAGCCAAATAAAAGCTTTCTTCAAGAACCTAAAGCACTACTAGAGCGAACCTCTGGGCACAGACTAAGTGAAGTGGAAGGGAATGCGACCTGTGTCCATGGAAGACTGGGCACTGGAGATGCTGGTCACAGCTTTAACTCACTGAAGATAAACTAAGCCCCTGAGAGAATGGCTGGGTTCTACTAATATGTAGCAAGAATTAAGTTGCCATCGACAGCGAGGACCACTTGCAGCGGAATTGTATCTTACTCTACACGACTTCTTACCATTAGGAGCTGGGAGATTAGTGAGATAATTCATATCACTGGGATTTTTCATCTGCGCCTTTGTACTTTGTGACATGGATTGCCTTGTGCATCAAGTGTTTCCTTTAAATTTCTGTAGCTGTCTGCTTACCAAAACGTTTCCAAGGGCTCAGGATGTAGCTCAGTGGTATAGTGCTTGCCTAGCAGATGCAAGGCCCCCTGCTCAATCCTCAGTATCGAGCCCCACCCCCACCTTGAGCATAACTTGGGCTGTGGTGTAGCTCAGTGTTAAAGCACTTGTCTAGTGTGTGCAAGACTCTGGAGTTCAAACCCTAGCACCGTCAAAAGAAAAAAAAAAGTCAAAGCCCCATTTCCAGTAGCGTTTTTACCCCTTTCCATTCTTTTTAGGAAGGTATATTTGCCCTATGATATTAAAAAAAAGGTATCTGCAATAGTTTATTATCCATTGTGCCATATAACAATGTTTCAGTCAGTGCCAAAGCACATATGCAAAATGTGTCTCATAAGATTATATTGCTTAGTGAGACTGTAGATGGTTTAGTTCATTTAAGTAGTCTCTATGATGTTCACATAAGGATGAAATCACCTAATGATGCATTTCTCAGAATGTACCCCAGAGGTTAAGTGGCACATGACTATATTTTATAAAAAATGAAATTAAATTTACATACTAAATTACCATAGTGATGAGATTTATATTCATATGCAACCATATGTCTAACAATTTTATTGAGTGGGTCTGCTAATGTAAGTAATTATATTTAAACTCTTCTAATAAAAGTTACTGCCAGCACTACTACTGCAATTTTTATGTCCTTAAAATTGCTTTCACAGATAAAATTGGTTAATAATGTGATTCCTCTAAATATGTACATGTTCTTCTGAGAGAACAAAGTGGCTTCTTGTTAGATTAGGGATGGCCATGGTTTTTTGATAACAAGGCTGAATAATAAAACATTATAAATTAAATGTCCTAGTTTCTGGGACAGTTAATCAATGGGAATTTAAGAAGCTGAGATTGAGTTGAAACACTGTGACCTTGATAGTACTGGGAAGAAGCTCTATCTGGGTTGGGGTAAATAAGAAAATGACAGTTTGATGGTTTGATGAGTTCCTGTGTTAAAGTGATAAGTGTAAATAAGGGGAAATGTGCCATTGCAAATACTAATGGAAATCATCAGAAATCATCATGAGTAACAGATTGTACAACAGACTATCACGGGGAACTGTGCAGGCTTAAAAGAGTAGCTATGTCAGATTTTATTTGAACATGTTCTCTCCCAAATCCCCTTTCCTTTGATCCATGGGAGCCAGGTTGTGAAGAAAACTTGATCGATGGCCATTTTCTCAACATCCGCATAGGTGACATTTGTGTAGGGCTGTTGTTCCATTGTGGGACTGTCTTGTGAATTGTAGGATGTTTAGCAGCATCCTTGCCTCTCTCTCCCCACTGGAGGTCAGTAGCCATTTCCAACAGTTGTGACAGTCAAAAGTGTCTCCTGGCAAGATAATCCCCAGAGGGCAAAATCACCCCAAGTTAAGAATCACTTGTCTAAATGAAGCCCTGGCTAGCTCTATCTCCATGTGGAATGTCCCCAGTGGCTGCTCAGGCTTCCTCCCAGGATAATTGTGGGGTTACAAGAAGATCTGAAAAGATAAGGCCCAAGAGCAAGTGCATCACTGGTCAAGGCAATTTATGTGGCCAAGATCAGAGTCAATGTGGAATTGCAGAAAAGCAAGAATACTAGATCCGCGAAAGATCTGCCACAGCGCACTTACTTCATGAGTTAACTAAATGAGAAATTAGAAGAGCCACGAAGAAAATGAAATACATGCTCAAGGACTCAAGACTCAGAGGAGAAAAGGAACATATGTACTCTGTGTATATATGATCACAGATCTTGGGCATATTATAAGTATTCATTATTTTAAAATACAATGTTAGTAGGGAAAATAAAAATGGTGGTGTAATCCCCATAGGTGATTTCTCTCTTCATTGACTCATGGGTATATATGAAATGGGGAAACCATAATTTGAATTTGTAGATAATATTTCATTTTTATTTCTCATTTCATTAGCCAATTCTTTGCATCAAGATCTCCAAATACTTGCTGAATGAATTTACCCCTATTTTAAGACTGAGAAATGCAAGAAAGCACCCAAAGTTACATGACTATTGAAAGGCAGCAGAGGAATTAGAATGCGGGTCTGCTAACCTCTCTAGAAGAGTGGTATCCAAAATGCATATAATGCTAGCCATGTACGTCATTTACATTTTTGGTACTCATGCTTTAAAAAGAGTATAAAAGACAGGGGCAGATAATTTTAATAATATAAATTACTTAATCAAAAATATTATCACTCCAACATGTAACTGACATAAACATATGAATGAAATATTTTGCATTTTTAATACCATGTCTTTAAAGTCTGATGTAGATTTTACATCTGGAGTACAATGCATTTTGGGCTCACTATATGTGAACCTATCAACAGCTACATATGGCTAATAGTTGCTGTACGGCAGCAAGAAGCTCTGAAATACTGGTTTCTAAGAGCCATGCCAAGCCACTCAACACACCCATTCACTTGTGTGTTTTCACCTTGGATGTGATGAATAATTGATAAAAACCTAAAGCCTATGAACAATTTACTTTTAAAAAATCAAGTGACATTTTTCTCATAATTGAGTATTTTTCTGATTTTATCTTTATATTTACTTTCAATTACTTAAAGAGAAACTTAAACACAGAGAGGAGAGTTCAATAAATCATCACCTAAATTTTGCAACTGAAAAAAATTTAGCTATATTTGCTTCAAGCTGTTTTCTGGCATACTTTTCGGATACAATTTAAAGTAAATGGCAGATATCATATATTTAGCTGTAACTTTACTTGGTATCTGTGACAAGGTGAGCATATCATAGCACATAGAAAAATTGATTTAAAGATGATAAAATGTATAAATGTTCACCTAGCATGCACGAAGCCCTAAGTTTAATTCCCAGTACGGGGAAGGAAAAAAGGTCTAAAAGTACGAACTACAACTAGAAAGCCCTTAGAAGAAAACCTAGGTACAAATCTTCATGACCTTGGATTAGGCAATGATTTCTTTGATGTAGCTTCAAAAGCATGAGGCAGCAACAATAAAAATACATAAATTAAATATCAAAAATTTTAAAATATGTTTCAAAGGGAATCATCAAGAAAGATAGTACAAAAGAAAGGGAGAAAAGGTTTGAAAATCAAGTATCTCCTGTGATTTGAGGAACTATTTTCAAGAAGATAGTGTGTAATCTACTAGCAGGTGATTTCTTACTGTTATGTATTTTTGTTTTGTTTTGTTTTGTAGTTCTGTATTGCGTGTACCCTTACGCCGCTTTGGTTTGTTTTGTGTTTTTCTCTTTTTCCTCTTAAATAAAAAAAAATCAAGTATCTCATGAAAGACTTGTATCTAGAATACATAAAAAATGATCACAGCTCAGTGATAAAAAGGAAAATAATCCAATTTAAAAATGGGAATGAATGTTTATAGCAGCTTTACTTATACTTGACAAAACTTGGAAATAACCAAAATGTCCTTTAGTAGGTGACTGGGTAAGCAAACTGTGCCTGATGCAGACCATAGAATACTACTCACCAGTTCTTCAAACAGTTAACAGAGTTACCATATGAGTCAGCAATTCCACTCCCAGTTAAATACCCCAAAGAACTGAAAACAAGTACTCAAATACATCATTTGCATATTTGTTCTCAGCAGCACTGTTCACAACAGCTGAAGGATTGAAAACACTGAGATGTCCATC